GAGTTTTGTCCTTATTGCAACTAGTCAGCTAACTTAATGTGCAACCAGGAAAGAAATGGTGTCCTTTGATTTTCGAATCTATTCCAACCTGCTCTGAAGTTGATACGAGCCACGACTGACCACCTGTAGGGCTGCATTAGAAAAACTTACTGGTTACCGCTTGTCGACTAACCAGTATATGCTTTAACATTATTATTTCATGTGGATAAATGATATGCGACACCACGGGTTCGAATCTAGACACAATACAGATTTTCATTTCAACTTCAAATCAACAGTTCTCACATGATTTTTACAATTTTATGCGGTAATTTGTTTATAGCCGATTAATTTATTCTTTAAACTACTGAAGCTCATGTCAGTAGTAAACAGTGATAAGGTTCATTCAATTCATAGTACAATAATGGATTACTCACAAGTAATATGATGATAACTATTACTACATAGCAGTTAACTCTCTGAAAGATTTTAACAGCTACATTATTATTTTTAATTAACCAACTACTTCACCTCATTCAAAGCTTTCTGGGTTGGTAAACTAATGACTCCTTACCTCAGTTTCGAAGATGGGTTTTATCTTAGGAGGGGAGTGGTTGAATATGAACAGAAGTCATTCTAATAATTTAACAAATTCAAAATTTTTCATGAATTCGAAAAAACACCTAATTTTCTTACTACACAGAAAAAAGTTTTACACACATATTAATACTTCTTACAGAAGTAACAGTAAACTTAGTGGATAAAAGCGGTTGAATCCACCCTCAAACCTGTCAAAAAAAGTTTTCGTTTCAAACATTTATCTGGTTTAAGGTCCCGAATACGTGGTGATTCAGATATGTGTAAATATTCTTATGGGTTAAAATATAACAGCAGTTCACAATGTCAACTCTGTATTTGCATTTTAGGACACTGCCCGGACTAAGTAGACAGACAGAGGACTGAAAAAGGAATATCAGTACCTCTATCTTCAAGTATCCTATAAACTCAGGTAGTATGACGCTCGCATATGACTGCTTTACAGTGATCCGCTGGGTTCCTCATTATCTCACAAAAATGCTTTGCATAAACTAATTATATATAGCAGATTAAATTGTTATTTGGGACCTCAAGCTTTTTTCAATTAGTATCGTGTAAATAATCTTAGCATATATATCGTTACATATTTACTACTGTTTTACTCTTATAAGTAGTATAAAATGCAAATATGATGGTGAACAACAAAACTTTAATATAGATAATTTGATTTGTCTACAGTATGAAAACAACACAGCAAAAGCATATATTAATGCCATGACTGGGATAGTTTTCATCTGACAGATTAGTACACTTACGGTATAATATATTTAATGAAATAGTTATGCCTTTGGACCACGCTCACATACATATTTTTAACTAGGTTTCAATCTAAAGCTGTGAAATAGATCGAAGGAAATAACAGAGAAATATCGCACAAGATTGGATCTTGTTCAAAGTCGAACAGTATCACATTACATAATTTAATGTTGATCACTAATTTATTGGAAGATTCTGTAAATAAAGTAGATATTTCGCAATTAAATATGTTGCAGATTCCATACAGAATATAAACATATTGTCCAGGATAAACGATTACTGTCTACTGGGTTGTGACTGATGGAATACAATGGGACTTGAACTAGACACCTCTAGATTAGCAAAGATGGCACACTGAATCCAGTGTTGATGAATACATTTCATAAAAGTGAAACATTTAAATTTGCAATTAGACTTCATTAAAATCACATAGAAAACTGGTTTGATTTCATATGAATAAATTAATGCTCATATATCTATCATTACGAATTAACGGCATTAAGCTGAATACTAAAGGAAATAGTCGATTGGCCACCCAGTCTTGGATAGTTGAACGGTCTTAAAAATTGCGGAATAATTTACTAATTAAGAAAACAAGAAGAAGAAGCTGAGACAGAACACAGTTTGAAGACCATCATTTCAAGCTAGTATAATTTTGGGGGATCTATCTTCGATCAATAATTGATTATCAGCATGGAAATAATTAAAAGTGAAAGGTGATTTAAATTCACCAAGTCCACGTTTACTATTCAAAAGGCTTGAACACTGTCTATTTCTGAATGCAACTCATACTTTTTGTTCACAACTAATTTCAAATGCCTTCTAAATGGCGAAAAGTATAAAGTAAATACACACTGAATGCTGATATATGTATATACCACGGATTCATATAAGTAGATGAGAATCAAACGCATTACTTCGAAGGAAACTCTACTAATTTGTCTCATTGAACTGTGTAATTTCCAAGTGGAAGATTCGTTTCAGTCAACTTTTACTCATTACAGTGTAATTAAGACAATACTAAGAACTAAAAGTATTTTTTTATGTTTCAAGCCCCCGCGGCATTATATAATCATAACACAATTTGGTAGTGAAGGCAACACCCTCAGGTTACTAAGCGAGCTCGTTGACTATTCAGCCACTGTGACTTACTAAAAGTGTAAATTCTATTGTCCCGATAAATTTAATTTTCTCCTAATGCATTGCACATTTGCATATAATAGTGTTATCTGAGTTGGTTGGTTTGGTTGCGGAGCTTTCGTTGTCCTTCTGAACAACATCTTCAGCGCAATATTTAGCTCCGCAACCAAACCAACCAGCTCAGAAAACACTATTGTTTACAAATCTTCTCTAGCGTTACACATTATTTTCTATTTCCTTTCCAGAATAATTATTTTTAAGTAATTTATTAATGATGTTTCTTTGAGCTGATATTTGCTTTCATCGGAAGAAGATACATCACCTGACTGGTTTCCCGCATTGTTTTTTCCCAGTGATTTCAGTGAAGAATACGTTTTTCTATATTTTTCTGTGCTTGGGAGTTTCTGTAGTGATTGGATTGATTTTCTAGGATAGGATCGCCAGCTTCATGTCCCACGTCCCTTCATTTTCCAATCTTAGGACCGGCTACTAAACTAGACTAATATGCAGAAGGAAATGTAGGTGAACTGGATATACGTTGAGGATGTCACTGACTTATATCAACTGCCAATATTTCAAGTGGAACCTTAAATGGAAATGATGAGTTGGGCTTGGATCCAAGGGTGATGTGGAGGAGATTATGTGATAAGGAAAAGGAAGCTATTGGGTAAACATGCAGCCAGCTAGAAAAGACTGAAGTGAACAGGGTGAAATGGTTGTGTTCTGATGAAGACCTCTGTTCCACTTGGAACTCAAGAGAATGATAATAATAATAATGGTATAATCCCTCTAAGCTGTTTAATATTTGACACTCAAGGCTAATTAATATTTACATGATTACATTTGGAAAAAAACGTAAAAGAAACAGATAAAATTAAATCATACATAAGTAGGGATTGAATTTCACTTAACGTTCATAATTAAGGCGTACATCTGGAGATCTAGTTTATCTCATGGATTTTGTTGTACAAAATGCTACTAACCAAAGAAGCAATAGAAACCATACACTGTGTACTATTAAAGTTTTAGTAGTGTAAAATATTCCCATATCATGAATTAAAAGTCAGTTAAAGTTACTGAAATCATGAACTACATCATTTTGGGAATTAACTTTATCAGTTTACAAACTATAGGGGAAAGTTCACTTTTATCACATATCTCCATTTAAATGATGTACGTTTTCATAGGAATGAAAAATTGTTTATTGTGCACTACTAGTTTGATCAACTAATTATGCAGGATTCTGGTGGGTATAGTTGAGTAAAAAACTGACGGGCTCGACCCCAAACGAGAGAAATGCAAACTTATTGTTCACATCACCTGTATCCGGATGATAATTACTAGTGTTTGAGATGAGTGAATTGTAACTACTCATATTGATCAGTAATATGTATACCATCTGGATATGTAACATTTCTGACTAAATGCTTAAAGGATTACATGCTGAAAATGTGATACGGCATTAATTAGTCTATGGTAACGAAGAACCGAAAATTAGAGGGGAACAAATCAACGTTCAGTACAATTGTCTGTTTTTTGTTAGTTCTCCAACTGAAGTCAATTCTCAACAGAATATGCTTCATTAAAGAAGATATCACAAATTATATGATAGGTTATTTCAACCAAACTGAGTAATATTCTCTTCCATTTCTATACATTCTAACTTGTAAATGTTAAAGAATCAAAAAGCAAGTTGGACTCTTCTAAAGGTGTGAAATTATAAAGTCAAAACGCATATGACTAATATACTTAAAAGTGAAGTGCTACGTGGTCATTTAATTAATTATTGCTGAATCGGTAGGATTACACTTCAAAGACGTTTACGAAATAAAGGATATCTTACTTTTTTTTCCATGCAACTACCCTGAACAGATTTTTCTATGTGCTAGGCTATAAGCCTTCGCCTTCGAATGTGTGTGTGTGTGTGGGGGGGGTGATGATACAATTTACGTGCTCAGATTGAAGTATATGATCCTGGGAACTACTGATATACACCGATTATAATATAGCCCAAAATCAGTTGGAGAATTATTGAAAATTAGTGAGCATTAAAGATCTTCTACATCCTAGATTGGAAGTCTTTAACTATGCATGATAAAAAACTAATACTGAAACTAATGAATTCCTTACAAAGTCAACATTTGAATTGACTAGTCTGATTACATCAAGCCTGACTTATGTTCGCTAATAAGGTAAAAATATATTAGTTTATCCATATTTCAAATTTCCCAGTTGAAATATGTGGACGGAGTCTATCAGCCTCATTTTGGTATTTAGGCTACTCCACGGACATTGAAGATGTCACATCGATGTTTGAAGTGATATGTATGGGGTTCTCGTGAGAACGGAAAAGCCATGACTCATTGGTAAGCAGGTATATCCAGATGACGAATATGAAGTGGGACGAAACTAACATGGTGGATTCTACCGCCAGTCAAAAGCAAAAAAACACGTTATACTACACTTTAAACCTCATAAACGAAAACAAATCACCAATAACCCATAATAAGTCATAACGATTAACTTACCGTAGGTTTGTTGTACAATATCCATATTTGTTTTTTAAGCAGAGATGTTCAGTCCCCAATTTTCTTAAATTTGAAAATGAAGTAAAACTTGAAGAATTCACAGTGAAAAAAATCTTTCGTAGTATACTTGTTGATGGAAATAATCTATGTTTTGTGAGAGACAGACGTCTTCGTGCAATTTAGGTAATGCGTCAGTGTTTATGAGCACAGGCGTTTGTATATATTATTATACGGTAAACTTTTAGAGACTTTCTGAAATTAATGAAGATTGGCTAGCCTAATTATTAGAGTGTTACCATGATTATTGTTGGTGGGTGGTGTTTTTTTGCTGCTGTTGTTGTTGTTGTTATCGTCACAATGTCGTAAATGCAAAGAATTACTGCTCAATCTATTTGTCTAGTCACCTGAATAATTCTTTCTTTTGAAATATACAGACATAAATGCATCACACATACACATAAACATGTATACGTACATGCATGCATACACACACACATACCTACATACTCAAACTACTTTTTACTACCTTCTCCCTTTAAATTCATAATACGCCTATAGTTATCACTAATATTATTAACAGTGGTTTCGGGGTGGTAATGTTATTATTTTTTCTTCTCTGTGATATGCTAATAATCAGTGATAAAGTGATGGTGGTGGTAGACGGAGAAGAAGAATAACAGGGTGGACGGGGATGGAGTGAGCATACGATTTATGCTATTCTTCATATTTCATCTATGATAGTGAATGTGTGTGAATGTGACAACTGACAAGTAGATTTTACTGTCTCATTTGTTGTTATAACATTTAACAACATATCCAATACAAATTTACAAAAGTGAGTTGATGATAGGCATGAAATCAAGAGACTCAGATAAATAGTTGAAAACATAAACCAATAAATGTGAGAAGCGATGCTTAGATGTATGTACATTAACTTAACAGTCTTGCCAGTGTGTGTATGTGTGTGTATGTGTTTATTGTATGTATGTCAGTGATTTTTTGCTGGTTGGCTAGTAGGTGAGACCTTCTTTATGACCATTCCGATGTGGTTTTCTCACTCCTTCTTATTAGGTATATTCATTCAAATGTCAATGTGTATCTCCCTCATCTAAAGCATCACAACACATACACACTGTACACACACACTGCTCACATACATGCCAATAAGTCATTGATGATGAATACGTGTGCATTTAAATGTAAGAGTAGAGTATAGGTGTATATAGGAGCTAATTGGTCTACTCACCCCACCCCCACCATCATCTTACAAGGATGCTTATTTACAAATCAGAAAGGTTTGTTTTAGAAAAGGTGACCATTCAGCTTATATATATATATATATATATATATATATATAAGCCTACCGGCTGTTGCTCATCTGTATTCATAAATTGAATTCGGTATTTGAACTAGTGCACGTGCGATTTTCCTTCGAGTTATCCATTTGATTCGTAAAAAAAATGTTTTCCACAGTCACGTGCTGCTCATGTATACCAACAGAAATTGTTATCAGTACCCAATGGCAGCAGTATTGTCCGCAGAAGTAGAATGAGTATTAATAATGTCATAATTATTATTCCTAGTAGTAATGTTAGTAGTAGTAGTAATAATGCATTAGTTTGATAACATAAGCAATCGTATAAGTATAATGGCATTAGTATTAAAGCAAGGTAATATAATTGCTTGGGACTGGCTACAGGTCAACAACAGAATCTCTCTCACCAAAAGAAATGACGCAACACCGATTCCAAATGTATGGAATATCGTATAGAATACTGTGAAGTGAGTTAGGAAGTAGTATGAGAAAATCGATACGATTTTGAACAATAAATTGTGCTCGGAAAGTCATCCATTTATTAATCCTTTATAATTACCGCGTGCTGCGTTTAGTAAGCTTATCTAGTGTGCAACTATACTCGACCAAAACGCTCAGATTCTCCCCGTACACCGAGTGAACAGTGTCAATATGAAAGCAAACTGTTAGTTAATACTAGGTCACTCAGACACTGGGACCTGATCGAATGGCCCATGAATTCTGACCTCTGCCAGTTCGCGATATATACATAGCACAACCCACAGCTAATGTAATAGGCAAGTAACTGATCTCTCACTGGACTTGGTGGACCCCGCTGGTTACGCCTTCTCACTAGAAGTCCAGGCAACTTCCATTCACTGGTGAGCATCATATTAATTATCAAGTGTTGGTTTGCAGAGTTCTGATTGGTCACAGGTTTGATCATGAGTTGACATCAGTTAGAGGACCACTGGAGAAGTTGGGAGTACTGATGTATGTTTCGTCCTGGTTTAGGACTCTTCGTCAGCACGCACTAACTGTGGTTTGGACCCAGGATCTCCTGGTTAGTTGCAGTAAGCAGAGTGTAACTTCACTGTTCTAATTGTGTCCATTATTATCCACTGATCCACATGTGAGTTATAGTTACTAATCTAATTGACACTAGCGTATATTGAAGTGCCTTTCTGATTTGTAGCCAAAAGCAAATCAACAATAAGTCAAAGATCTTAGATTTATGCTTGCTGGAACCCATCAATGGGGGTAGTCTGAGTAGCCGTAGTGGTAGCAGCAAATAATAAAATTGATAAATTATAGCGGTTATGTAAAGAAGACGTTTGGATTATTTAACATTAAAGAGCTAATCATTTTATGCTGATATTAGTGAAACAGTAGGCTGGATATCTGTACAATAAATTCTTTTTCTCCTTATCAAAATTAACATTTCATAAAATCACTGGAAGAGTACTAACTACTAGGCGAATTCATATTCAAAATCATATGAACTGTAATTATATAAGTGGATCTGTACATCATTTCCAATAGCAGAATCATACTATCTCAGATGAAGGGGAGAAATTTACATGGAGAAAGTATCCCACAGTAATGCGAAGATTTACATTTCAAAGCCAGAAGAAGACGAAGAAGAAGAAGGGATGACAGTTTGAACTCTACTCTACTCATATCTGAGCAGTAGGATTCTGCCTACATCACTGACTGAATTAATAGGAAATCTCGCTAATCTCTATAAGTGATTTGTGGGACGGGAAGGCGGAGAACGAACACTAAGCTGAATACTGACCAAGAATCATGGAAACACTCATCAATGAACGAGGTGTATTCTTTTCAACAAGTTCTTCCTCTGGCTATACACTTATACATGCATATTATTTGATGGATAGTCGCTATTATTGTTATTATCATTGTTTATTTTATCAAAGCCTACTGTGTTGATGTGTAAATTTAAAAGCAACTGTACAATGTGGTCCACAGTGGACCCACATATATGTAAGGATGTTTTGATTTTTAGTTGTCCTGTCTCATAGCAGTTACAATAAGCTTAATCAAATGCGATACAGGGAAACATGGTATAAGTACAACAGAAAATCCACGAGAGAAATTAAGGCATTAGTAGACCTCTCTAAGATGAAAGACAAGCCTAGAAGTCAACTCAGCTACAGTACTACATGAATGGCTGATGCATCTGAAATAGGCGGGAACGTACTTGCTGAATTCTAATGCTAGCCATCAACAAAAAGTACGTTAGATTATCGATGAATATTTTCTAAGATAAATTCTATCGCTAATTTGTTAAATTTGAAGGATTTTGAATGGAAAAATCTTTGTAATACTGTTATCAATGCGATCATTAATGGAAATAATCTACGTTTTTGTGCAAGTTAGGCAATGTGTCAATGTGTATTAGTACAGCTATGTGTATTAGACCGCAAATTCTTTGAATTATATCAGAAAGAGTGTTATGGCTTCAAGAACAACAGGCAAATGTTTATGAAAGCTGATGGATCAAAACCTCAGAGTACAGCCTATATGAATAGCTTCACATGAGCATGGGAACTCACAGATGCACATTAGTGAGGCCATCATATGGCAGTTCATTCTTGACTCGTTGTACGAGTAGTGGTTTAGTTGGGAAGTTGAAAACCGGTCGTCATTTTATAATACCACACTGGCAATTTCATCTTCTCATTTTAACTTGAGGTATAATATTGTCTTATTTCAGTCTATATTATTTGGCCTATCTCTAGATGTAAAAATATACTTTTTTAAAATTTATCCGTATTGTCGTCTTTTTATACTATAAGTTACATCTTACGTATTTCTTCATTAGTGAATTCGTTTTATTCTATAGACCAGGCATTCAGTTAAATTCCTTTTGTTCTGAAATGGTATTGTAACAATAGAAGGCAAGACACGGAAGCAAACGTATATTTTCAAGTGATCAAAAGGCTATTTATATGCATACAGTTTTATATTCTCTGATCACTCATTGAGCGTGTGATTTTGGCTTACATTAAAGGACATGAAATAGAATGTTCAAATATACATAGTATTCTGTTGCTAACGCAGTATTGAACTGTAGGAATGTGTGAGAATAATATTCCGTTGGAACACATTGTCTGTATCACACCACCACAGTATGAAACTGATTCTTCTAAGTAGATTTCTCTTCAAATATCCATGTATCTTCTTGGTGAGGAGGATATCTGGGAACGACATACTCTTACTTTCTTCTTCCTTATGAGTGAAATGAATAGCTGGGTGAATATTGTTGACTGGATTTAAAAGCTCTTGTTTTTTGCAGTCTCTGCCACAAAAATTGAAAGTGACATTTACATGTAGACAATAATAATAATAAGTCTCATCAATAATCTCTGTAACTGGACCATTTTCAAGTTATGCATAGAACTTAAAGGTGAGTTTATCGCATCTTAATCAACTTGTCTGTAGAAATCATTATTAAGCATACACTGGACGTTCATTGTGAATTTCAATGGCAATTCCTTAACATTTTTAGGTGGGATTCCTATTCCTCTCTTTCATCCCATTTTCAAAGGTTGATTTGTTTTTCTAAGTTGACCACGATTTGATATCAGTTAGAGAACCAGTGAAAACCAGGGAGTACTAGACAGCTGTTTCATTCTAGTTTGAGAAGCATCGGCGATGCGCACCCACTGGTTGTGGTCGCGCTAAATTACGAATTGGTAGAAGTTAGAATTCACGGGTTGGCCATTGAATCGGGTCCCATTGTCTGAATGGCTTGTGAGCTTGCCTTGTAACCAGAAAGTCCTGGGTCCGAACCCAAGTGGGTGCGTACTGCCGATGATTCCCAAACTATTAAACAGTACTCCAATACTGGTTTTCAATGCTCCTCTAACTGATATCAATCCGTGGTCAGTTTTCATTCCATTAATTAATTCTTTCGAGAGGATGGAAGTTGGTAAATAATGATGTTATATGCGGTGACATTATTATTCTCACATTTAATTTCAGGTTTTTAGATGTTTCTACAAAGCTGGACATATCTTTAAATATGGACTTCGCCAGTTCACAGTGCAGTGCTCTTACTAACCACTCTGCTGTTGAACGATGCGGCGATTGGTGACATAACTAAAATATGATGCAGTAGAATAAAAGGTCTGTGGGCTGCCGACAAACCGTGAAGTCTGAGTTTGTGTG